ATACATACATACATACATACATACATACATACATACATACATACATACATACATACATACATACATACATACATATATCATTCTGTCCTTTCATCCATCCATCCATCAGTCAGTCTGTCCTTTGATCCATTCGTCCATCYGTCCATTGGTCCRTCCTTTCATCCATCTATCTGTCTGTCCATCTGTCCTTACATTCATCCATCCATCCTTACATCCATCCATTCATCCATCAAGGCAGCCATTAATTTCTCAGTCTAGACAAAATAAAAATCATATTTTCTAGTAAGACATTGCTAATAGTTAAAAAAATAAAACAAAACAAAATAGTGATTGAAGTGAATATTGTGGAGCTCTTACAGACTGTATATATTAGGGAACATTCCCATATTACTTTATAAACTGACATCGCAGCCTATTTTCACACTCAACACGCATTTGTTGTTGTACTTTGTTGTCATTTTCTTTTTGTATTTTTGGCAATTCTCTGCTCTTTGAAGATGAAAAGCTTCTTGGCCTTTCTTTCTGCTTTGGTAGAAACCTTTGATACCATACTGTCCTGTGCTCATACACACACATGGATGCCCACTCCACTTATTGCACATACACACAAGCACATTTGCATTTCAAACATTCCTTTCCATTTTCTACTTACCCTTTGTGCACTTTCAGGTGCTCTTTTCCAACATGCAAATTACTGAATGACACCTAACGGGTCTGGAGAGGGGAAAAATGGCTAGATATGTTCCTTGCTTGATTTTAAATGTCAGTTTGTGTGTCTGTTGACCTATTTGTTGTTGGAAACAGCTAGAGTGGTTTGGCTCGTTGAATGGGCTTGTTGTTTCTAATTTCCTATATCGATTATTAGTCCAATTATCCTTGGTTTAWAGCTGTTCTTGTCTTGTAAAATCCACTCTACTGTGCCTTCATGTTTGACCAAATGCAACAGACACACAAAGATAAAGAAAAAAAATGCAAGAGGCAATTTGTCAATGTTTTCAAGAGTGAAACATTATTTCAAATGCTCTTTGTTGGTTATATATATATATATATATATTTCCTTAATTTTGGAACATCAGACAATACGAAGTTAAGATCGGTAGAATTGATCGGCTTCTCATCTACCTTGACAAAGGTCTGAAAATCACC